GAGTTAACTGTTGCCAAAGATCTCAAAGTGGCACTGGGCTTGCAATCTGTGTGTTTAACACAGAAAAGACCAACAGAAGTCCTAACCCACCCATAGCCAGTAGGCTAAAGGCAACTGAGCCATTCCCTTCCTTAGCGAGCCTTATTACAAATTGGAATCCTTCTAAGATGGTATCCCAAAAGCAACTGGAACTTGAGTTTATAAATTTATAATTTTCAAAGCCAATTGAAATGTATATAACTATTAAATTGAATTTATCATGCCCATTAGAATGAAAGATTAACTGGTAGCTACTTTTGCTTCCAGGGTCTCCACTGTGCTAGCTGTAGTAAGCAATTATGAAATGGTAATCCCAGAAACATTAGCAGCAGTGGCTGTCACTGCAATAACAGCAACAATGGCAGCAGCAATGTCAAATTCTCTTTGGAGTGTATGAACATCCACTAGCATGGATACAACTTCAGGAACATGAACCACCAAAGCCCAATTTTCTTGATCCCAGCACGACTTAAGCTGGTAGCTCTGCAAAAGAACAACTAAGGCCGGGCACTGGTGGCAAACGTCTTTGATCCCAGTACTCGGAAGGCAGAGCCAGGCAGATCTCTGTGAGTTCCAGGCCAGCCTGGGCTACCAAGTAAGCTCCAGGAAAGGTGCAAAGCTACGCAGAGAAACCCTGTCTCGGAAAAAAAAAAAAAAAGAACAACTAAGAACCATAAAGAAAAAACAGGCAGCTCACAAAGAGCATAACTAATGGTCTTATAATGGCTACATTCAGGCTCATAAATTTTAAGGTATCTTCAAAGTGGGGTATCTTAGATATTCTTAAGAGCAATGGTATTCAAACTTGTCAGAGATCTGCTGAATATGGCATTTAACATGTTTTTTGCTTTGGTTTGGTTTGGTTTGGTTTGGGTTTTGGGACAGGATTTTTCTGTATTTCCATGGCTATTCTGGAACTCAGGATAGGCTGGCCTTGAACTCACAGAGATCCGCCTGCCCCTGCCTTCTGAGTTCTGGGATTTAAGGTGTGTAACATCACAGTCACTTAAAATGTCTAATGGAAAGAGCTTACTATGACAGATACCCCAACCCCTAGCAGTGATCCCAAGGTCTTCAAAGATTATGGGGGATGACAATGATGACTCCAACTGAATTGTGGTAATACTAACCAGTGGGCAAGAGTACACCAATGCCTTCCCCACCACCAGTACCCAGCCGAAATTATGAAAAAACTATGGAGAATCAATTGTCCCACTTTGTCTAGACAAAGCAAGGTCAGTCACCCAAGATCCTCTCAGGTCTCCTGGACCAGGCCACCAAAGACTGATGCTTCCCTGGTACCTCTGTCCCAAACAAAGCCATGGTGTAGTCAGACTTTCTTTCTTTTGGGACTACCAGCCCCCAAATAATGACA